TTTTTTGGAGAGGTTTTCACTATAGGGCGCTTGCGCTCGCCAGACAGACAGAGAGAGACATAGAGACAGAAAGTGAGAAATCCACCCCCCCCAGGGGGGATGGCCACACCGCAATCCTTGGGATCTTGGGCATGCACGCACACGTGCTCGGCCGGGTCCAGGACGCGAACTGTGGTCGACTACGTGCGATTCCAACGACATAGCTATTATAACTGCTGGTTTCCTCTCTGTACTTCTTACTCAGTCTTAATCCAGGGACTCCAAGAGCCTCAAATCATGAGAATCAGTTGAACATTGTGGGATCAATGTCCGGAGTTTAGTTTAATAACTGCTATGCTAAAACAGAGTATGTGGGATTAGTGGAAAGAACTAGGAATTTAGGGCTAGGAATCTGATGTTTTTGTCATTATTTCAAATAAGGAATCCATGTCGAAAGGGTTTTCATAAGAGACTGTGTAGTTACCTCTGCATAAATAAAGTACTATCAGGCTGGTAGCTTGGGTAGTTAAAGTGGCTGGATCCTGGGGCCGACAGGTGGTATGGTGATTAAGGGCACTGGACTCCCATGTGGCTGACTGTGGCTCAAGTCCCAGACCTGGTGGCTTGCCTTCTCACTTTCCCTCTCTCTCTCTCACTCTGTCCCTCTCTGGTCATATAAAAATATTAAATAAATAAATAAAATAATTCTTTTTTTAAAAAGTAGCTGGATCCCCCAGGGTCAGCTCTGCTATGTGGTTTAAGTGCCAGACCTGGCAGCTTGAGAAACACATCAGACATGTGTGCCTAAAATCCTGAAATGAAGGAGAAATGTCCTTTTTTAAATTTTTTTTATCAGATGTCTTAAAGTCATTTATACATATACATTTAATACAATAAAACCATTTCTAAAGGTTTAAAGAAGTTTGATAAATGAGTGGGTAATTTTCTTGTCAGTAGTAAGACAGTATTTTTTTTGAAAGAGATTTTTGCTATAGGGTACATGCACTCACTGGAAAGACAGAGAGAGACAGAAAGCAAGAAATCACCCCTCCCCAGGGGGGATAGCCACACCATAATCCTTTCTCTTCCAGTCTCTTGGAATTTCGGTCATACATGTGTTTCTGTCCAGTGTGTTTTCAGCCACTGGGTCTGGGACTCAAACTGTGGTCAATTACATGGGAGTCCAATGACAACCATTATGCCATCTGCTGGTCCCAGTAAGACAAACACCATTTCTTTCTTTTTCTTTTTTTTTTTTTTCTTTAGAGAGATTTTTGCTATAGGGTGTGTGCACTCACCAGAGAAACAGAGAGACAAAAACCAATAAATCTCCCCCCAGGGGAGATGACCACGCCGCAGTCCCTTCTCCATTCTCCTCTAGGGATTTTGGGCATGAAAGCACACATGTCTGGCGTGAGTTTTAAGCTGCTGGGTCTGGGACTCAAAGCACAGTCGACTATGTGGGAGTCCAGTGACATAACCATTACGCCATCTGCTGGTCCCATAAGACAGTATTTCTAACACTAAATTCTTTTTTCTTTTTCTTTTATTTAAGATTTATTTATTTAATTTTATTTATTACTATTTTTTTTCATATTCACTAGAGAGAGAGAAAGTGAGAAAGCAAGCCCGTAGGTCCGGGACTTGAACTGTGGTCAGCCATGTAGGAATCCAGCACATTAACCATAGCACCATCTGCTGACCCTTAAATGGTGGTCTACTATAGACCAAGTGCACGCTCCAGAGACAAGGAGTAAGAAATCACCCCCCAGGGAGATAGCCATGCCACAATCCCTTCTCCTCTATTGTCCTCTAGGGATTTTGGGCTACCCACACATGTGCCCGGCATGATTTCCAAACCTCTGGGTCCGTAACTCAAACTGTGCTGTTGGCCATATGGGATCCAGCTGCCTTAACCGCTGGCCCAACACTAAATTCTTGAGTGTGATGGCTTTTAAAAAATTCATGATCTTTTTCAATTGAATTGCATTAGGTATGTAAATAGAGTAACTCTGTTACATTGCAGTGTGGCAAATTAAAGGCAAAGGCAGACTCCTGAAGATTAAAAAGTGGGGATAAAAATTGTTGAATAGTCTGAAAAGTTGAGATTATCAATAAATTATTGGCTTTCCCTTTTACTTTTTTTTTTTTTTTTTTTTGTTTTTTAACTACAAATAGTTATAGGAGGACTACAACAGACCAGCCAGCATTCCCCCCCACCCCACAGGAAAATAGCCAAGCCTCAATTCCTTCTTCATTCTCCTTTCAGGATTTTGGGCATCCATGCACATGTGCTAGCTTGTTTTTCAAGCCACCTGGTCCAAGACTCAAACTGCAGAGTTGGCCATGTGGGATCGAGTGCCTTAACCACCACACAACCTGCTGGCCCCTCCTTTTTGCTCTTTAGAAGTTTATACTAAAATTTATGCTCTGGTTTTTAATCAATAATCAACATGATTTGAGCATTTTATTCTGCCTTTTTTCTTGCAGTAATGTGCGTGGCTGGTATTGGACTTGTTGTACTATTCTTCAGTTGGATGCTCTCTATTTTCAGATCTAAATATCATGGATATCCATACAGGTATGATTATTTTTTTATTGTATAGTGATTACCTATACTTAATGATTAGAGCTGATGCTACATGTAAAATTTAAGATCCATTATGATATAATGGGTAATATTAGTATATGATTTCTTGGAAATATCTTTCAAGGTTATTCTGATATCACCTAATTTAATCTAGAACTCTATAATAACACATAACGATTAGAGCATTTTATTTTTTTTAACTACTTACCTCTATTTTTCAAAGCACAGACAACATTTAATTAGAATATACTTTGTAGAGCATATAAGAAAGAGTATCTAAGAAGGTCTAATCTGGGCTGGCCCTGTTGTCTAGTGGTTTAGGGAAACAGATCCCACACAGTCAGCCATGTGATTTAAATCCTTGCTCCAGCAGCTTGAAAAACATGTTGGGTACATGTGCATGCATGCTTAAAATCTCAACAGGATGGAAAAATGTGAGAAAATGCATTGCAGTGTCACCGCACCTCAGTGAAGATAGATGGATCAATTTCCCTCTCTCTCTCTCCATGTGCCCCTCTGGGAATAAAATGACAAAATAATTTATCTTGTATAGAGTGCTAACTGATATGTCAGAGTAATTTTTCTGGGACTTCTATTAATTATTTGATCACCAGAGTTGTTTCGATTATTAATTAGTTTCTCCATTCAGGAGATATTTTAACTTGAGCTTGTATGTCTGTTTCCTTTTATCATGACTACATGGTCTCTCAGTGTTTCTCACTTTCTTTTATTGATAATCAAGTATTCTCATACATATGCTGAAATGCTATTCAATCTGTTAAAATTAAGATATTATATATGTATTGTAAGTAAAGCTTAATTTTCTTTCAGAGACTAATAGTTTTGTATGTGTTTTTGTTTCAGCTTTCTGATGAGTTAAAAAGGATCTCAGAGATACATGGGACACTGGAGTAATGGAGATTGAACAATGAGAAATGTGTGTGTGAAAAGAATGCAATTTGTGTATTTTGTATTACCTCTTTTTTTCATGTGGTTTAAATAGTTAATCATTTAACCAAAGAAAATGTGTAGTGCCTTAACAAGCAGCTTTCTGTCAAAATCATGAAGTATTTGGAAATTATTATCCTGTTTATCTTCCTTTCCCAGTGAACTTTACAGAACATTTAATTTAGTAGACTCAAGTACATTATAAAAACTTTTTAAACTACTACTTTGTTTTAATTAGAACAAAGCTCAAAACTGCTTTAGTTAACATTTGGTCATCTGATTTTATATTGTCTTATCCAAAGGTGGGTAAATAAACTCCTAACTAGGTATTCCCAAATATGCCTATTAGAGATAACTCATCAGGAATCCATTCTTAGCTTTTCCATACTTGCATGGAGGTGTATACGTTACACATCTTTACTTTGGACCAGAGAAATAATCTGCACTATGTGGTCTTCTGAAAATGGAACACTGTTTTCAGAGAAACATGTCCAGCCTTTAGAAAGACTAGTTAGTTCTTCTGCATTTTTCCTACTGACTTACAGTGCTTCTTGATAGCCATAGACATTAAAAAGTATCTCTAAATACAGGATTATGACTTCTGCGTGAGTGCAATGTTAATTACTTTGTATTTGCAAAGATTTCTGATTACATCTCAGTTTTATATAAGTTGGCCTCTCTCTGATAAAAACATAGCTTTGTGCTGAAATCAGTATAAATTATAGATGATCTAACATGTTCCTGCAAATTAGAGACTGTCATTTATTCTACTTGTACCTAAGAGAAAAGTAGGCTCAGTTGCGTTTAGGAGAAAGACTCCCTTAAAACAGTTAAAAAAAAATCATGATATATTGAATTATCACCTGTGTAGAGGAACTAAGTGTTTCTTGAAAACTGGTTTGTTTTTTGCTGTTATTTTAGTCTTTAAGCTCTCTCTGTAAGTGAAGAAACAAAGTAAACATTTAAGATAGTTTTGTTTGAATTTTGTCTTTTTATTTCTGTCACTGGAAATAACCATACGTGCTAATCAAATTTCTGTGAAGAATTTTTTGTGGATATCATTATATCTAACTGTAACCTCCTTCATAGTTAAAAGAGTAACCTGAAATGCCAGTCTCTTGGAAGTATGAGAACTGTGATTGTTAAAAAAAAAAAATGTAAAGACATTTTTGAAGTATTACATTAAAAAGATACTGTGGCTGCCTTTTGTTATTTACCATCTAATAACCATCCCATATGGTATAAAAGTCTTACATAATTTGGGTTTACAGAAGGAAATGAATATAATTGCCTCAGAAATGTTTTATGTGGGTTTTGTTATTGTTGTTAGTGGATTTGGTAAGTTGGTGGAATATGGTCGATCTTTTACTCTTTAATGGAGCCACTTTCTGCTAGTTAAATCCCCTGTAAATTGTGATTCTGGATCCCTTATGTGCTGTTCTTATACTTGTCTCAGGCCAAATACATTTATGCTGTGATTTTTATGAGACTTATAGGAAGATACCCTGAATTTGTACAAATTGACCAGGAGAATACTACTGATTTGTAATCTGTATAGCTCCAGATAAGTTGCCATGAGCATTGAACTAATGAGGTTTTTGTTTGTTGTTTTTTGTCTCCCTTAAAGAGCACATTCTTTTATAAGGAGAAAGATAGTATCTCGACTGAAATCTGTGGAAAACAGGTTTATTAATACTACACTTAAAATTGTGTATTGAGGAAATTTTGAGATAAGCTTTCATCTGAAGTGCCTTAAGTAGACTTTTAATTTACTTTTCTAGTACTGGTTTAAATATGATTTGTTACGCCTTTAAAAATACTATTCAGAATAACATATTATGGTGGCAAGGATAACCAAATGTCTGGCTGTTTGCTTTTTGACCATATCAATAAACTTTTGCAATCTAAATTTTGAGTTTTTTAATTATCATTCAAATGGATAAGTTTAATGTACTAAATGAGAATTATAAAATTAGGACATTTCATTTTGAAGTTATAATTAAATCAATTTAAATGTCTTATTGTCCTAATGACAGTGAGTGAGTTAGGAAAAAATTTTTTTATGTATTTCAAAATTGAGATACATTCTTTCAAGAATCAATATGTAGTCCTTTATTACTGTCACCTATTAGTCAAAACAGCTAACTTTTTATCCCAGGCAGTGAAAACCCCTTAACTAGGTAACTTCCTTATGATAATAAAGATGGATTTGATGCAGGCCCTGTGGTCCAGTGGTTAAGAAAGCTGGATCCCACATGGCCAACTATATGGTTTGAATCCCAGCCCCAGTGGTTCAAAAAACATGCTGGGTACATGTATGTGTTGTGCATGCCCCAAATCCTAACAGGATGGAGAAATGGGGAAGGAGTTACTGTGTGATGACATCCCATAGGCGCGGGGGGGGGGGGGGGGGTCTACAGTGCTTCTTGATAGCCATAGACATTAAAAAGTATCTCTAAATACAGGATTATGACTTCTGCGTGAGTGCAATGTTAATTACTTTGTATTTGCAAAGATTTCTGATTACATCTCAGTTTTATATAAGTTGGCCTCTCTCTGATAAAAACATAGCTTTGTGCTGAAATCAGTATAAATTATAGATGATCTAACATGTTCCTGCAAATTAGAGATTGTCATTTATTCTACTTGTACCTAAGAGAAAAGTAGGCTCAGTTGCGTTTAGGAGAAAGACTCCCTTAAAACAGTTAAAAAAAAAATCATGATATATTGAATTATCACCTGTGTAGAGGAACTAAGTGTTTCTTGAAAACTGGTTTGTTTTTTGCTGTTATTTTAGTCTTTAAGCTCTCTCTGTAAGTGAAGAAACAAAGTAAACATTTAAGATAGTTTTGTTTGAATTTTGTCTTTTTATTTCTGTCACTGGAAATAACCATACGTGCTAATCAAATTTCTGTGAAGAATTTTTTGTGGATATCATTATATCTAACTGTAACCTCCTTCATAGTTAAAAGAGTAACCTGAAATGCCAGTCTCTTGGAAGTATGAGAACTGTGATTGTTAAAAAAAAAAAATGTAAAGACATTGTGAAGTATTACATTAAAAAGATACTGTGGCTGCCTTTTGTTATTTTCCATTTAATAACCATCCCATATGGTATAAAAGTCTTACATAATTTGGGTTTACAGAAGGAAATGAATATAATTTCCTCAGAAATGTTTTATGTGGGTTTTGTTATTGTTGTTAGTGGATTTGGTAAGTTGGTGGAATATGGTCGATCTTTTACTCTTTAATGGAGCCACTTTCTGCTAGTTAAATCCCCTGTAAATTGTGATTCTGGATCCCTTATGTGCTGTTCTTATACTTGTCTCAGGCCAAATACATTTATGCTGTGATTTTTATGAGACTTATAGGAAGATACCCTGAATTTGTACAAATTGACCAGGAGAATACTACTGATTTGTAATCTGTATAGCTCCAGATAAGTTGCCATGAGCATTGAACTAATGAGGTTTTTGTTTGTTGTTTTTTGTCTCCCTTAAAGAGCACATTCTTTTATAAGGAGAAAGATAGTATCTCGACTGAAATCTGTGGAAAACAGGTTTATTAATACTACACTTAAAATTGTGTATTGAGGAAATTTTGAGATAAGCTTTCATCTGAAGTGCCTTAAGTAGACTTTTAATTTACTTTTCTAGTACTGGTTTAAATATGATTTGTTACGCCTTTAAAAATACTATTCAGAATAACATATTATGGTGGCAAGGATAACCAAATGTCTGGCTGTTTGCTTTTTGACCATATCAATAAACTTTTGCAATCTAAATTTTGAGTTTTTTAATTATCATTGAAATGGATAAGTTTAATGTACTAAATGAGAATTATAAAATTAGGACATTTCATTTTGAAGTTATAATTAAATCAATTTAAATGTCTTATTGTCCTAATGACAGTGAGTGAGTTAGGAAAAAATTTTTTTATGTATTTCAAAATTGAGATACATTCTTTCAAGAATCAATATGTAGTCCTTTATTACTGTCACCTATTAGTCAAAACAGCTAACTTTTTATCCCAGGCAGTGAAAACCCCTTAACTAGGTAACTTCCTTATGATAATAAAGATGGATTTGATGCAGGCCCTGTGGTCCAGTGGTTAAGAAAGCTGGATCCCACATGGCCAACTATATGGTTTGAATCCCAGCCCCAGTGGTTCAAAAAACATGCTGGGTACATGTATGTGTTGTGCATGCCCCAAATCCTAACAGGATGGAGAAATGGGGAAGGAGTTACTGTGTGATGACATCCCATAGGCGCGGGGGGGGGGGGGGGGGTCGGGGAGGGTGCTTTATCCCTCTCTCTGTTTCTCTCAGGTGATTACACACTTGCAATTTTAAAAAATATGATTTGGAGCAATTACCCTGGCACAGATTATCAAGTTATATGAGACTGAACAAACTAGTACATTTGCAAACATGGAGCAGAAACACTAGATAGGAAGAAAGATAGGATTTTAGTCCTTGCTCTGTTTCTGTCTAACTATGTGACCAGGGGAAGTGATTTGAACTTCTCTGGACCTGTTTATCCTAAGAAGAATGAATTAAACTAAATTACCTGAGTGTTCCTTCATGCTCTGTTGTATATTATGCAATATATCTAACTTTGGAATAGATATCATTTCTGATATCCAGGTTTAGTGTTAAATTAAATCAGCTGAAATATAGTGTTCTGTAGTCATATTTCTGAAGAAACTGAAAAGCTGGTAAAGGCCATTATAACTACAACTCTAGTAATACATGCTGAATATTTTTTTTTTGGAGAGTTTTTTGCTATAGGGCGCATGCACTCACCAGACAGACAGAAGGAGACAAAGAGACAGAAAGCGAGAAATCACCCCCCCAGAGGGGATGGTCACGCCGCAATCCCTTCTCCTGCATTCTCCTCTCGGGATCTTGGGCACGCACGCACATGCGGCCAGCGTGAGTTTTTTGTTGTTGTTGTTTTGTTTTGTTTTGCTTTTTTTGAGAGGTTTTCACTATAGGGCATGTGCGCTCACCAGACAGACAGAGAGAGACATAGAGACAGAAAGCGAGAAATCACCCCCCAGGGGGGATGGCCACGCCGCAATCCCTTCTCCAT